TTTCAAAAAATAATTTTTAAATAAATAAATGCATAAATAAATATTTAACCTACAAATTTAAAAAAATTTCATGTTCAAAAAATAAAAAATATTTTTCCAATTGAAATATGGTGGCTAATTTTTTTCTTTTATTTACTCATCAAATTACCAACAAAATTTTTTTATTTAACCACCACCAAATTTTAGCCACTAAAAAATTTGGTGGCTAATTAAATTACTAAATTTTTTATTTTATTTTATTATAATAAATATTATTTGTTATTAATTTGGTCACTATTAGTAACGAACTTTTTTCAAGGTTAAATACAGTTGTTTAATAAAAATTTGAAAAGTCTCACTAATAAAGTTGGCCAAAAAAAATCAATATTAGTAGAAAAATAATTTAGACTTTTTTTATTAATTCTTTAAAAAATAGAACAAAACCTTGGAATAGTATCATTAATTCTATTAACTTGCTGAATTTTAATTTTTGCTATAAGAATTATATCATCTAAAAAAAATGGGAGATTTTTTAACCATTGATACCAAAGAAAAAAAAAGGAGGTTCATCTCCCATAATTAATTTTATTACTAATGCAATGGGTCAAATGTTCAATATATAAGACAAACGGATAAAAGATCATTTTGTTTAATTCTTTTCGAAGGATAAAAAGTGTCACTAAAAGAATCATTCCTATTAATGCACATAGATAAAGAAAAAATATAATAAAAAATAAGGTTGATAAAATCTGAGTCAAAACCAACAAGATGAAGAATATCATAGACAAAATTCTAGTTCAATCTATCATAAGTTTTTTCTAAATCTAATTTTAGGATCATGAAAGCTTGAAAGAGTGCAAGATTGTCTAAAGACTAATTATATTTCATTTCTTACCTACTAGGGATATAGGATATCAAATAGGAAGGACAAATTTTAATCTATTAACCAAAATGTTACTCTTAATTGTTCGTGGGCAAATATATTTGTCAAAAAATAATAAAGAATTTTAAAATAAGTTTCTAAAATATCGTCTTATAAAAATTATTTTTAATTAGTAAGAATTTCTTGATTTAATTGTTTAAATAACAAAATTTGTATTAAGTATATTTAAAAATAAATTAATTATCAATGAAATTTAAAATAAGCAACACAATTGGACATGTTGGCTACGGTAAAACCTAATTTTTCATTCAATTTGAGCTCAAAATGCACTCTAAAACTTAACTGTGGCCTTCTCATATTAATTTACATAAAAGTTAGTTTAATAACCTAATAAAATAATGGTTACAAATAAATATACTATAAAAGTATGTCAAAATATAGATTTATCAACTCGCTCGTACTTAAGTAAATCTTGACTAAAAATAATAGAATAACTTAAAACATATTACCACAATAAGGAATATGAGACAAATGAGATAAAAGAAACATCTTATATTCTTTAACTTTTCACTCAAACATCAAATCAAGATATTCTATATTCTTCTCTCTCTAGGTGTTTAGGAATAAAAGAAAATATTACTTAGTTCTTAAAAAAAAAGAAGTATACTATCGTAAGCTTAACTATAAATCAATTCTCTACTAAATAAATTGACGTTATCTTTTATAGAAAGTAACAAAAATGGTTTGAAAAACACAAATCAATAGGCATCATGTTATCTCCATCTTAAATATCTCTATTTACACCTTTTTACTTTAGACTAACAAATTTTATCCTTCAACATACATCTCCTTTTATCGATCAAGAAAACAGAAATTTGTTTTTACTACAACTAATTTCTAAAAGAAAAAAATAATATGTCATTCTAACCACAATTAGGCATAAAGAGACGGAGGAGTCTCTTAGTCAAATCACCTCGATATTCATGTCATAATTTAAAATCAATAAAACACTTGTAGCAACGCAACTAAAAAGAAAATTTTTAAATATTTTTAAAGATCATGTACTTATTTAAATTTTATTTATTTTTAGTCATGCTAGGAATTATTAAAGATAAATTAAAAATTAAAATATATTATTATGATTTTTAATAAAGAAAGTTATTCAATATTCTTAACATTTTTTTTTCTATTTTTGTGACATGAATAACTATACATAATTGCTAATATGCATTAAAAGTGTAAGGTTTACAACTATTGCAAAAATCACATTCATGATCTCAATTCCCTTTGTAATAGGTAGGGAGAGAGGGTTCATTGACAATTGAGCGCTTGCAAGTGTGCATAATTTAATTAATTGTGATGTATTAGAAACTACAAAATTATTGAGATGACATCTGAGGTTCACTCATTATCGCTTTCAGTGAAATAATAATTTGGACTTTTGGGACACACTAAATACAGGATTAGGAATCTTGGATCCCACATAAATTTACACATTAAAATTTCGAAAAATATTAACTTGGATCGAGTTTAATTAATTAATAATATAATTTAATTTAAAAGTTATGATATTTTTATAATTTAAAGTTAATGCAATCTTAAAAAAATTATATAAATAAATATAATTTTTCAAAAGAACTCCCCATCCTCATGTATACCTTGTGAGCATACAACTAATCCTTTACGGTACAGATTAATATGTTAATTATTTTTCCGTAAATGGCAAGTTCAAGGTTCAAGCTTTCATCCCCTTCTAAAAAAACAACACATTTCACTAATCACTGTGTCAACCCTTATATATTCAATAAGCTAATATAGTTGTTTCGTGAACAAAAACTATAGTTTCCTAATTTATGAAAAATTATTAATTGAGTTTATTAAAAACTAATTTCAAATACTTTTTTTAATTTAACATTTTAAATAAGTAATTTTTTAATCATTTGACATATTTTTGCAAATTATATAATTAATTTTATTAAACACTTCTAATCCAATATTTAAATTAGCTTAGCAGCTATAAGTAATTTATAGACCTATGAGTTTGAGCATTTAAACAGGTCAATGGGTGTCTTTAAAAAATATTAAAGAAGTTTAAAGTTATTAAGTTAGTTTATTAAATTTTTAAAAATGATAAAACTAGTTATTAAATTAGGTAATATATATAAAATGACATAAAAAATTATAACATGATAACTAAAGATGATTAAAGTTAAATAAAATAAACTTAAAAATTATCAAAAGCTGCATAAAATAACTTTCAATAAATTATTGCTAAAATGTTACATACTGCTGAAAAATTAGCTCTTTTATAAAATATGGTCAAATAAGCTTTTAAATTAATTAATCATATATGCTAAAAGTTGAGTTAGAAACCTGTCAAGGACATACCTAATACAAATTCATTAGCCTAGAAGCCTCAAGAGGCCTCTTATTCATCCTATTCTTTGTTAATTAGCACATCATTGTTATGTTACAATAAAAAATATTATTGTAATACTTTATTTAACATATAATATACTATTTAAAAAATAAATAAATATTTACTAAAAATTATATATTTATAAAAATCTAAATAATCCAAATTTTAATATATATAATACTTAAAATAATATAACATAATTCAACTATTATAATATTAAAATTTAATATTTTATTAAATTTAATGTTTAAAACTTGTTTGATGTACGTATTAATAGAATAACTTTTTATATCACATCTTATTTTTTTTACATAATTTCTTTAACCAGCATGATATAATAGCTTATCTTATTGTTATTTTTTGTGTAAACTTAATTTTATAAAATGTTTGAGTTAAAAATAGACAAGATAATAAAATTATATATTTAATTTATTATTTTAATACATGCATGCATCAAACATAAATAAGATAAAATGAACTTCATCTTACTCTTATCTTATTTTATTTTTATTCAATTTTTTTTATATTTTTATTCTATCATGTTAAGTAAATGGTCTCTTGGCCTTAATTGATTATGACCTTACATAACACTTACTAAACCTTACACAATCCGTTAATATAAAATTTGTTAGACAAAAGTTAAGTTATTAGTCAAAACATCATGAAACTAAGCCAATGGTATATACAATATATTATACTAATAGATAAATTCTTTAATGTAAATAATTGATTTGTATTATTAGTGTATCATATACTAAAGATCTACAATATTATACTACTAGTTTAATTTTAATTATATAGAAGTTACATTAACAAAAACAAGTCTAATGTTATTTTCTAGTGATACTTAGCCGTAAAACGTTTAAAATATATCGAAGCAAAATAGATAGTTTTGTAATTTTATATAAAGGACATTATTCGTCTGCATAAATTTTAATTAACAAATAATGTTAGCAAATGATTAGCTTCGAAGTATTCTAATAATCCATCAGCACGAGGACAACTATTATTAAGAAATGTTCATGGGTTATATTAAATTAAAGCAATGTGTGTGTTTGTGTTCATGGGAGTTGCAAATAAGATGATATTTTATCCGTTTAATTAATTAGGAGAATGAATTGAAATGCTGATCATAGTAGCTAGGTCAAAATTAAGAGGAAATTAAAGAAAGAAAAACCCAGCTTCTTGTGTTATAAACTCAAATTAAATCATTATTAACTAGTACATATTACTAATCGGATGGATCAGTAATCAACCAAAGAAATATAGCTAGGCCCCGTGAATTCCCTGTCCTTCGTCCGTTCACTTATCTTTAAATATCATCAGTTAAAATTGCATGATCTAGAACAAATTAATAAATGCATGTATAATACATTTAAATGGTCTATTCTTGTCTAGTCATTTTCTTGCACAAGAGCAGTAGTAGTAGACAGAAAGGAAATATATATATATATAGCACACTCGAAAACAAAAAAGTGATTCGGGTAAAATTGAAGAAATTACAGAAAGAAGCAACACAATGGTCACTGTGTCCGGGTTGCTTATTAAAGCAAGTGGAGATTCGGAAGTGGTTGCAGTAATTAAATTAAATATACATAGAGATACAAGATTATTAAATCTACTCCCTAGCTAATCAACTTACTCAATCAAGGAAGGCTCACGATTTCATCCTTCTATATAATATAGTTGTTGCGATGTTCCTCTCTAGCACACGTTGAATTAGAAGGGTGGTCTAACACTGGCATGATGAGCATGACCCCAAGGAGAATTATAAGCTTCATGATTCAGATGTTGCCCATTTGGAATACCCAAATTCGGAGGAACATTATTATTATTACCATTATTGTCATACACCGGAATCGACGATGACGCTTCTCCGCCACCGCCACCCATTCCCGGCGGAGACCCACCACCGTGTCCCTGACCATCCAAATCATCATTCTCCAATGGCAATCTCTCGTATGTTGCATTCGAAAACGTAGCCGCCATTAGTAAAACCGGTCCCGCCGCCACCAAGGGACCTACCACCCCGCCGCCGACGATCTGTCCTTGACCTCCGGCGAGGTAAATGGTTAAACCGGTCGCGCCGGGAGGAGACGGGCCGGGCAAAAACGAACCGGTCAGCGAGAGTATATCGAACCGGCCGTGAAGCGCCATGACAGCGCCCGGAGCCGTCGGTTGCCGGAGCGTGACGTTGACAACGATGCCACTGCCGCTGAGAATGCACACGCCTCTTTGGCGCCGTCTTGCAAACTGCGCCACGCAGTCGGTGATGTCAGCTCCGGTGGCTATCTCCATGACGTGGCTTCGCAGCGCGTTAGGGCTGTCTCTGGTGACAAATATTGGCGGTTTCGGTTTGTTCTTTGAACCCGGTGGTCGACCTCTCGGGCGGCGCGTAGTAGCCACTTCAATCGCTCCCTCTTTGGGTTCATCGCTGTTCTCTTTCTCCTCTTCTTCTTCCCCTACTCCCCCGTTGTCGTTCATGGAAAACCCCAGATCCGGTTTTTTAATCGAGTCACCCGAATTTTCCAGACCCACAGACCCGGTCCACCACCGGTTCGCCATAACTGTTAAAATTCAACAAAACCCAAAATTGAAGTATATATGTATGTATGTGGAAGACTAGAAGTAGAACTTAATCAGAGATCTAGTTAGCAAGAAAATAGAAGAGGAAGATCGAAGAGAGGAATTGATTACTAGTAAGAGTGATACACTATTGTTTTTTTTTTTTTTTGTTTTTTTTTGTTTTTTGGGTTGTGAAGAGGAAAGGGTTGTTGTAGATGTGAGTCAACAGAGAAAAAAAATAAAAAAAAGGAGGTAGAAGAAGGAGATGGATGACGTTGGTTGGTAATAAGGTGATTAGGGTTTCGTTTGTATATTATATATGTGGGGTGGGAGAGAGGGTGGGGGGCACGACCTTGCTCGCGTCCCGACAATATTGATATATACGAGAGAGACAGATGGAGAAGAAAGCTACTTGCTGAAATTTGTGATTACCAATACGTACACTACAACACAACACAGGTTGAGTTTGATGTTTGACCATTTTTGCATTCTCTTAAATTTCCTGATCATTTGCTACATATTTTAAAGGATTTTGTTAACCGCAAATTAATTAATACTTTTAAGATACGTATACAAGTATTGAATATTTTACTTTTTGTTTAATAATTTTTATGTTCGCTATTTGACTAGTGCTCTGATCGGTACCTAATAGCAAAAGAAAAATGTATTTTAAATTATAATATATATAGTTAGACAGGACTTTCAATTCATGTATGTTTGAATAATCCAATGACCAAATATCATTCTGTTAGGGGCTATTTGATTCTTGTTTTACGCGACAACAAACAGTTTATCCACTCAAGGGTAGGGGTAAGAGTAACGATGGATGTTTAGTTCTATTAAAGTTTTAGCAGGAAACCTTGATTAATTTAATTTGATGTTTTCGTTTCAACGCAATTTGCAATAAGGATAAAATAAAAACTGAATAAAGTAGTGGATTTTAACGGAGAGAATAATGGTGTGTGCAGGGGCAAAAACTGTATTGGCTGAGATAACTGGCTAAAGAAAGACGAAACAAAAGGCGGTGAAAAGAAATAAATAATGCAAGTCATCCACCATCTTTTGATTGTTGCCTCGCTAGCAATTTGGGTGCAAGTTGCTTTGCGACTTGCTAGCTAGCTGGGTCATGTCATATGTGGATGATTATATATTATTTAATTAACTCCACCATCTTTTTATTTTCCGGTGGATTCTATTCTCTTTTCTGTGCTCTTCTTCACTCGTATGCATTTATTAATATTATTAGTTTGATTTCATTGGTCGCTAAATGTAAATGCATGAGGGATCTAGTAAAACATTTTATAATGTGCATTTCAAGGTTTGATGAGATGGTTGTATTCTGCGAGTATAATATTCAAGCCACATGCGATCATTTTGCATTGTATGGCGACTTTGATAATTTAAACTTAAAATATCGGATTCAATGAAGACAAAATACCAACTTCAGTTGATAAAGGACTAAAGGGTTGTTGAACTTGTAGCCTTGTTTTGATTTTTCTTTCGTTTTCTTTTAATTTTCCCTTTGAAACTTAAAACTTCCAAGTCTGTCTTCTATATTTATTAGCCAATTAAATTGAAGAATGATCTGAACATTTCAATTATCTGTTAAACTTTACTTTCGAAAGGGATCAGAGAACAACTGTGTGTAGTCCTTGTTGACGAGCGCTTTAGGAATTATTCCCCCCTTTCTTGAATAGGTATATATATATCCAAATACTTCCCTGTTATTGGAAAGTAGAAGCAACTAGTATATTTGGTAATGTTTAATTTTACTAAAATAATTATTTATTTTTAAAAAGATCTTTTAGTAAGTGAAAGAAGGTAAATACCAAACATGTATTAGGACTCTAAGTCACACCTCCTTGTATATTTTAACCAATACAGAAGTCTTTTTTTTATATATAATTCATTCATATCCTTATTAAGCTACATAATTTTGTTTATATTGTGTATTTATTTTTAAAAAATTAATCAAGTTAAGAAATATTTCTTAATCTTAATTTAAATTTATTTTATTTTGATACAGTATTAAATTGAGATGTTTTTCTTTTATAGAAAAATTAAATTTTATAATCATTATGACATTAATTTAAATTAAAATTTTAACTATTAAACACATGAATCAACAAATTTTTTTATTAAATAGAGGGTTATTTTAACTTAATAAGTAGTATCGAGTTTGAATTTTATTGAATAAATATTGAGTTTTTAACAAATTATTTTTATTATATATAATATTAATAAAGATAACATGTCTTTATTTTAATAATTTATTTTATAATTTTATAATTTAAAAATTGTATCTCTAATTTATTTAATAGAATTAATATTCATAACTAAAATTCTTTTTTAAACTTCCTTTATTTATAAATTTTATATACATTTTAAAATATCATTCAATATATGAGAAACTCGGTAGTTAAACTTTAATTCGGTATCATCATTCATTCATTTCATTGACTCTATTATGATGAAACCATTACATTATTTATTTAATTAGCATTTTTAATATAAATAATTAGAGAATTTTATTTTGACCTTTTCTATAAAAACCCCTTTAAAATTGTTTGTGTATTTTTTCCTTATAAATATTTAATAACTTTTAGGTCAGCAAACAACAATTAATTTCTCAGACGAAAATATTACTAGTCCAAAGTCATTACTAATTAATGGAGATGCATTTATTAATTTGGTGAAAAAAATTCAAGGAGGGATTTGAAAAATAAATTATAAAAAAATTATTAAAACAACTTATAACTCTCATAATTTTTTAACTAATTTTAATAAATTCCACGGTCAAATTTATGTAATAAAACTTCTTATGATAAAAGATTGTTAAATAAGTGCATAATTATAATTTTTTCCCCCAAACACACACTAAGAGAATGCGGTCCCAAAAATTTTAATACTGAAAAATAATATTACTAACTAAATTCTTTAACTCTAGTGAAGGGATTAAAGAAATTTTATACAAGAGAGTATTATTATGATTTGTAATATAACCTTTTAATTTAGGTAAAGACAAATATTCACATGTGTTAAGTAATTTATAAGAATATTTTTTTATAATGTGAAAAAGGAATAAATTACTTTCACATTGCTAATAAATTTTTTTTATTACTTTAATAAGTGTTCTGAATATATCAGTTGCCATTTTTTCAAGTACTATCTCATTTAACTCAATTATAAATTTAACTAACTCAACAAATTAAAATATAAAAGAAATATGCCCTTACACTTCAGAAAATATCATATACTAACTTAAAAAATGGTTTCTTTAGTGCTACTTTTTTTAATTGGTATTTCTATCTAATAAAAATTTAAAAACCTTAACACATGTTGATTAGAGTTAGGCTTCTAACTGTATGTACAAAAAATACCTATTAAGAAAAATAAAGCCCAGCTTATAATGTTTATGCATCGAATTAAGAGCTTAACTTCCGTTTGTCAAATAAAAAAAATACAATTATTAGTACACATAAAAAAATCACACGATTTAAAACAGACGTGTCAATTATTATTCTTTTTATACATTATATTTTTTTAGTATCTGCATAATTTTATTAAAAATAGACTAGATTGATGAAATTATATAAAGAATCAATTAAGAAAACTAAATAAAAAATAAGAATAAGTCAAAATCAGTTAAATTGGGTAAAATGTATAGTTAAAAACTAGTTTGAACTAATAATTCTACAAAGGGTTTTTAAATGTTTCTTAAAAACTCATACGTGCATGAACTATATCCATAAATTATTATTCAATTATTTTTATAAATTTTCTACCTTATAAAGTACTTCATATAATCTTTTTATATTAATTTATAAGCTAATTTATTAAATTAATATCAAATTATTTTGAATTATTATTAATTCAATCATAATTTAACTACAATTCAACCAATAAATTATAAATACTTTTATCAATTCAATGACTGTTGCAATTTTGAAAATATTGAGTCTCAGTTCATTGGTTGGCTTGTTTATCAAATCAACGGCGGAAAACCCCTTACAAAATTTCATAGAATTCGGTGCACACGGGCTTCCAAATCTCTGTCTACTTGGAAGTTGTTCACCAAACCTTACGCTGACACTTCTTTTAGGTTCAATGGCATACCAAAGGAACAGAATACCTATTTCCAAAGATAACTAAGCTATTTACATCTTGCTGCTTATGGTGACTTCTTGAGAAATTGTATCGAAGGATTTACTTTTTGATAAATTTTGAGAGTCTAAATAAGCGTTTTTGAATGCCGAAAATGGAAATTTTTGAAGAATCATGAAAAGAGCTTCCAATATTCTAAATCCACAAGACGGGATGCCTTCTGAGAAATTTTAGGGAGTTTTGAAGTCACTAACACCCAAAATTGCTTGAAAGACAAGAGAGTAGTAAATTTTTTTCTAAGTCCACAAGATTGAAGACCTTTCTGAAAAGTTTCTGAGAATTTTTCTAACCCCTGAACTTAGAATAATTAAAATTAATTAAAAAATAAGACTAACAAGAAGATTCTAAGTTCACAAGACTGAAGGTTTTTTGAAGAATTTTCAAGTTCCTTACACCGAAAAATTATTCAAAAAATAAGATTGGTAAGGAATTATTCTAAGTTCACAGAACTGAAAGTTTTTTTTAAGGAACTCTTGAAAAGTTTTCAAGTACTTTACACCAAAATTGCTCGAAAACAAGATTGACAGAAAATATCATAAGTCCACAAATCTGGTTGAACTCTAGATCCCCTCCAGAATTGTTTGAAAAACAGAAAGTGAAAAATTATTCTAAAGTCCATAATGCTAAATGAGCTTCTTAGAATTCTCTCAAAACTGCTTGAAAAAGAGAAAACAAAAAGAAAAGATTCTAAATCCATAAAAGTCATGATAGGACTCAAAAGTTATTGCAAAGCTCAGAAGCGGTTACCAATTATTACCACCAGATGAAGGTCCAACAACGTGAAGAAAGATCGTGGGTGATAGCAGTTATGAAAAGAGCCTTAACTGACAGCACGATCATAAGCAATCGTGGATAATGGACAGCAGCAGTTGAAGGCAAGCACGCATGGAAGACAATTGCTGAGAAGTGTCTGCAAAAGAGAGAGAACGATGACGATTCTCCTGCCTATAAATACTCCAAAACTGCATCTTACAGAAAAGGACTTTTTGCACCCAGATACTGCACCTAAAAACCTCTGCATGTTAAAACCCTGCACCACGTTAGACACCAGCTACTAGGAGACTCACGGTGGTCGTCGTTTGTTGTTGCTAGGAGTCGTACATTACATTTTTGCACATTTATGTTTTTACAATTTTAATTTCAATTTCTTTTGCTTATTTTTTTATATGCAATTTAGTTCCTATTTGGTACATTTCTGTAAAACCTCTATGTTTAATTTTATTATATGTGTTTATTATTCACTATTCTTATTTAATATGCTTTTTATGCCATTAATTTAAAAAATCATCATAAATTAGGCTTTTTACTTTCTGTCTGATGATGAGAGTATATATACTTGTTCATGATGTAATCATATACATTAATTTTGGACAGTCTTGGGTTTATGAATATATATATATATATATAATATTTTGTATAAAGTAAGTAATAAAATAAGTTGAGTATTTTAAAATGTGTTTCAGTTAAAAAAAAGAAGAAGAAGAAAGGCCTTTACGGTCATAATGGGCATGCGCACTCGATTTGAACTTAAAGGGGTAAGCTAATCAATTAGTAAGCAATAAAACATGCTCTTGGGGTCTTTGAATAAATTTAATCGGATGTATAAACATTTTAATCTTTTGTTTTAAAAACAATGCTTGCCAATTGATTAGATCAATAATGATTCGATAATCGAATAATTGACTTCAAACAATCATAATTTCTTCATTCCCTGCTCTAAGTCCATGATCACTAAAGCTCATTGAATAGGTTTTAAATAATAACTCAAAATGTTTTTTTAATTATGATTATTACGATACAATAACTAATTAAAGACTAATTTCTCCATCTTGATTTTTTTTAGTTTTAATTCGTGTTTAATTCATATTTAAATAATAATATATTTATATTTTTAAATATTAATTATAATTTTTATTAAAATTATATTTTTTTATTTTTTAACACATTTTTAAATACTTACCGAAACTATAATGCTAATCTTTTCAAAGAATTCTCGTCGAACATTGTAGCAGATCATTCTCTTTATTTATTTATTTGTCATTGTTTGGGCTTTATTGTCACTTTTTCATTTTGATAAGTTTAATATATTGAGTCTTTTACTTTTTCTTATCCAAATGTTCACTCTCTACTTATCTTATGCACGACTATTTACTTAAAAAACACAATCTAAATAAAAATGTCTTATTTATAAAATTATAACTCCAGCTAGTCTATCCTTCAAAAAACCTTTTTGTTAAATGCATATATAATTAAGATATTTATCAAATAATACTATAATATGCAGCATGTTATAAACATATTACCCAATAATGCATGTCTGTGTTTACTCTCGTACGTCTAAGACAATTTTTATCGATGCAAAAATATACAATCAATTGTCCATCACCAAAATTTATATCTACTATTTCATTACGCAAAGGTATAATTTTTTATGCTACACTATTAGAACTCATAATGTTTAATTGGTAATTTGAAATTGCCATAGTTAAACTTTGTTTATTTGTTATTTTATTTTAATTTCAATACGTCAACAGATAAAATTTCACGATCATTAAATTTCCTATGCAAAATTATCTCATTTAAAAAAAAAAGTTGATTTGACCTCATTATAAATTGATCAGCGGTAATAATATGCTTAAAAGAAATAATTTTTTTTCCTAGTTAATTGATTACATGTAATAATTTCGCGCAAGAAAATTAACTAATCTTAAAATAAAAGAAATGATAAAGTTAAGTTAATTGATAAATGTATTAAGGTAATTTATGGAATTATTGAAAACAACAAATAGTTAGCGTGTTTGGTGCCGTTGGAGAGAGAGAGCCTCAGTGATGGCAGACGATCTGTTTGAAGGATTGCCCCCTCCTTCCTCAAACGCTCTTCTTCTTCAACATGAACATGAACATGAACAAATTTCTCAACCAGAACCTATTGTTGTTGTTACAAACAACAAAAATGACAACACGGAACCCTCTTCAGTTCCGCCCCCAAAGCCAATTCTCAAAAGTGCTCTCAAGCGTCCCAACCCTACTCAACCCGACACCCAAGGTCAATTCCTCTTTTCCTTTTTCTCTAAACCAATCTACTATTGTTTTCAAGCTGTTGTTCCAATTTTTCGTCATTCAAACTATTGATTCTATTGACCTCATACGAGTGCTTCTTTTTTGTTTAGCTGTGAACCCTAATTTGGATATATAGGTTTTCCATTCGTGTCTTCTGCTTTTTATGCTTCAACTCTGAAACAAATTGACGGGAGAGGGTTTTTGGTCAATTCTATTTAAGTTCCATGCTCTTCCCTCGTCGGATTGACGACACGTGTACATGCTACTTGGTGGGAAGAATGGATGACATACTCATTTACCGTTCAATTGGGCTGAAAATTCAGCTTCAAGACCCATTTTCTTGGAATTCTTTTGATGTTTTTTTTGCACTGCAAATTTTAAGTAATGCATGTCCTTAATATTTAATAGAGAAAGCTTTGTTGATGTTATTGACGATTATTATTAATGACAACTTAAGCGGTTTATGAAAGGTATCTTTAAGAATTCGCTATGGCTGTATTTGAGCTTGCCATTGTTTATAGTGTTCCAAGACAAATAGTAAGAGGCTAAGAGGATAAATAATTGGTTTACTTTTCTCCTGGTTTTGAGGATGCTGGTACATTTTATTGCTTTTGTTTTTGCTTCCATCCCTGTTTCGAATGATGGAATTTGTACGTTTTTTAATTCTGAATTGTCTATTGTACTTTCAGCTACGGCACCTAAAAAAAGCTTGAAGTTCAAAACAACAACTGATGCTTCAGAAGCACAAGTTATTGAGGCCATGCAGAAGATATCTTCACACATCAAGAACCCTGCAAAGTTCGGCAAGGCTGCAAAGCTTGCTGTACAGCTGATTCAAGCGGGAAGCATAAAGTCAGAAATTAGTGATTATTTTTTTTCCATATTAGAAGCTGCAATGTCATCATCCATAACTTGTACAGATCCTTCAGTTCGTGCAGATTATCATTCTCTGTTCTCTGCGGCACAAAGCACTAAAGAAGTAAGATTAGCATTTTGTTCAAGATATTCATTTTTCTAATTTTTCTTTTCTTAGAGAGAGTACTTTAAAGATTTTTTGACCCACACCCTATTATTTAATTGTAGCACCTCAATAAGAAGCAAAAGAATCAACTGGCAACATGGACGATAAATGCTGTGGTGGCAAACGATTTATATACAGATGACAGCTTTGTGGTATGATTCTCACTAAAGTTTATGCTGAACTGGTTGGTTGATGACAACTACTGCAATTTTCTTCCTATTTGAGGCAAGGAGAAACATATTGGAATGATATGCAACTGGTTTTGACATGCAATGCTTGTGACAAAATGAAAAGCACGCTGACATTGATTCACTATCCTTTTTTTTGTACATAATTCATAATATTCATGCACAGTTATTATTGCTTTGATGTAGCTATCTTTGAAGTTGTCATTTCATGTCTAATATCAATTCATTAGTTTCACATGTACATGACTTGTGACCAGAGACTGATATAATTGCATAAGTGTCAATGTAGTTTTTATAAAGGTTTGATTTTACAGGCAGAAGTCAACATAGATTGGAAAGGATAAATCTTCTGGTGGAACACTAGGATTAGTTGTCAAGTGGATGACTGATTGATAAGCATCGTTATTCCTAAACAGCCATCAACTGTGTTCACCCATGCCATGCTTTTTTGTCACAGATGCATAGTGGGGCATGTGCATGACATGTGTTACCTCTTGAATGTTGATGTATAGACTGACTCCATTGGGAAAGCATTTTTGTTTTGGTAGTGGAAGTTTGTGTCTTTGTTGCAAATTACTAGATTCTTTGTTTAAGGGGACTGTTGAATTCCTGGCTTGGGATTCTGCTAGCTAATACTTTTTCTTTTGGTTCAAGGGGAGGGTCATAGTAAGCTAAGTGGGTGGGGAAGAGGGAATAAGGGAAGGGGGCGGAGCAGATTGAGGGGGATTGAATGCACGCACTCAATTCATGTCTCACTGTTTAAACTAACTGAGCTAACTTGAGGAGGCTGCTAGCTAATACTTCGATTTCATATATTTGTCGAGGGACTATTAATCACATCATTTTTCATCTGTAATGTGGTTATTTTTTCCTTAGTCATCTGATTTAATTTGGGATATTGTTACCTATTTTAATCTTATTCTATATACCTGGAGTTGATGGACCCATAAAGATTATCTGTTTGTTCCTAATTTTTACAGTTTTCTAAAGCGGCTGGGCAAATCAAGGAAGCTATATCTAACCTTCCCGTTGCAACAGACGAGGATGACACAGATGAAGCGGAGTCTTTGAAAGATAGCACAGTCACAACAGATGAACATGGTCAAACGCCTGCCACAGATAAGGATAATGATGGGGAGGAAGCTGACCCATTTGGACTTGATGCTCTGATTCCTGGATCCACAAAGAAAGGTGAAAAATTGAAGGCAAAGAATGAGGCAGTGGCAAAAATAAAAAAGGGGGATGAGGAAGAAACCAAGCGAGTTCTCAAGTCACAAAGAGAAGCCCTGATAACTTGTTTAGAGATTGCTGCTCGGCGTTATAAAACACCCTGGTAAATATTCTGGCACTGTTTTCTGCTGTATATGTCATTTATATTTGTTTTATAATGTTGACTTTGCTAGTACTTTTTTCTTCTATACAGGTGTCAAACTGTAATTGATATTTTAGTGAAACATGCCTTTGACAATGTGGCAAGATTTACAGCTCGTCAGAGGGATGCCGTCGGGAAATTGTGGGCTTCCATACGGGAGCAACAAACTCGTCGGAAGCAAGGGAAGTCAGTTAATGGAAAACTTGATGTAAATGCTTTTGAATGGCTTCAACAAAAATATGCTAATGAGAAGATTAGCATTAGACATTCTGTTGGGGCTAGCGGAGACCGCCGAGCCCAACAATGGCTTGGTTAAATTTTCTCATGACCTTTCTGTGACAGTAATAGAGAGGATGATGTCAACTTCAGAATGTTCTAAGGGAAGGGAGATGATGCATCCTCATTTCATTGAGTGTTGTAACTTAGTAGGTGTCAACGCATCTCACCTGACTGAATATTATTTGGAGTAACTTTTAAAATGTGATTTTTTTACCCGTGCTTTGTTTTCTATTTATGCAGACTGCAGATATAGTCTACTTTTGTTTTAAAACACGAAAACTTGTTTTGCAAAGTATGTTCTGGCATCTCTTAACTAAAACAGTGGGAATGGGTTTTGATTTCGAAATCATGTAGATCGTAAAGAATTCTTACATTCCTATTTGGTCTGGACAGAGTAAACTAATTTTTAAACTTGTTCTATAAAAGAAAAGTGTTGCAGAAGGACCTCAATTTTATTGTGATAGCCTATTAAGAATTCCAGCTTCAAAATTTATCATTGAAGGACTTAAACTTCAGGTTAAATTGGAATTTTAGTCCCCTAACTTTCATGATTATTTTATTTTAGTTCTCAAATTTGTAATTATGTGATTTTAATTTTTTTATTTTTTAATTAAACAAATCTTGTTCTCTCGTCAAGTTGCTGTCTAATTTTTTACAATAATTGGACGATTTTGTTCTTTCTTCTGTCTCCTTAGCCGTTGAAATTTGCCATTGTCGACGATGCTTTTTCTCTCCCTTAACCTAGTCTCCGTTGTTGGTGTCAGAATCTTTCTTCCTCCTTTTCTCCTAATCCATACGAAGTAGCTAGTTACATAATTTCTCTACGACATAGCCACATAATTTCTTTATATAGGCAGAGCGCCCAATTCTTTGCCTCGTACAACTATCACATGACAATTTTCATCAGCTTTTTCAATGGTCAAATCCTTCACGATCCAAACACTTGTGAGCTCTTCATTGTGGGGTGGAATTACAAACCAGGACCTAGTTTGGTTGGAGAATTGCGAGGCGTGGTTATGTAATTGAAGTGAAGTGAATTGCTGAGAATTGGAGATTTGGGATTTTAAAATAGAAGTGAATTGGGACATTTGGGAGAGGAAGGAGAGGGTTTTGAGGATCTAAACACAAAGCAATTAATTGAAGGTACTAAGAGGTTGGAATGGCAGCAAAGGAACAAGATGATGGAGCTACAACTTGGGTTCAAAGTTAGAGTCTTTAACATTTTTTATTGGAGGTTTCTTGGTGATGTTATGAAGATGAGCTTAAAGTTAACTCTACTTGTGTTAGTGTTATGTTTAAGATTTCATGATTGAAGAAATGGATGGAAGATAACATGCAAAGGACAAAAATAATAGGGATAGAAAATGTGAGAAAGAGGAGAGAGAAGAAGAACAATGATAGCTCAATAGAGAGAAAAAAAGAAAATCATACGCTTGTTAAAATTTAGATAGCAACTTAACAAGACTTGAGTTGCTTAATTAATAAAATAGAGAGATTAAAATCGTGTAGTTAAAAATTAGAGAGTTAAAATTGAACAAATATAAAAGTTAAAGAACTAAAAATGTAATTTAGTTAAACTTTATTTTGACATTGAGATTATTAAATATGAACCACGACATAATAAAAATATTTTAGTATTATTTATTAATTAAAATTATAGAACAAATATGCCATACATTTTGTTTATATTATAAGTTTGTTTAATTTATTTAGTTAACCTTATCTTTTTATAATTTTTATTAATAAAATTATATTCAGGAAATAAAATTTAATTCCTTAATTGATTCATTATAAATAATTTTGGTCCTAGAAACCTGTTTTAGATTTAAAATGACATGAAAGGAGTGTACTTTCAGTTTTATTCTTTTAAATGAGTATATTAAATTCCGACTTTTTATTATTTTAAAGTTCAATTAACTTGGAAAAACAGAGATAATGTTAAGACTGAAACAATTAAATACATGTATATTTGAATTAATTTTAAGTAAATTATATTTTAAGTCTACGTAAATATAATTAAATTTAATTTGATATTTTTTTGTTATAAAATTTTAGGAAGAGAAAATAATGTTCTATTTTAAGACAAAGGAAGCCTTTAGACTCAAAGAATACTTACAGAAAATTTTAAAAAACTAAATTTATAATTAATTTAAAAAAGGAAGTATTAAAATTAAATTTAATTATTAATTCTTCAAACACGTATTCAGAAAGAAAACCCTAGCGCTGGCTAGCTGGCGTGAGTAGATTGGTGGTTAGAGCTGAAGTCCTCTTTGCTCGTAGAAGCGCTTCTTCCATTCCTCTGTAATAAGGCTGCGACCAAGGTTAAGGTACCAAGTCTCTATCATCTCCGTCTCAGGTCTGAATCAATTCTCCTTTTCCCCAATCACCAACTGTTGTGTCAATAAATATTCCTTAAGGCTGCACATATCGAAGGTTTGCTAGCGCTCTTTCGAAGCCTGTGAGCTCAATGTTTGTGCCAAAGCGTTTCTCATCAACTTTTTATTGGATCCTCTTGTTCTTCTTATGCTTGAGGATTTTATCCATGTTGGTGAACATTCTCTCGTCTCTACCTTACCCTTTCTGCTTTTATTTGTTTTTGAGATTTAGTTACCTCGCCTTTTCTTTTGTTTTGAGATTCTTTTTCCCCTTGCAAAAGAACATACAATCTTTTCAAATTTGGATTATTTCATTTTCATTTTGACTAGCTAGAATGCATATCATCATTTACATTTGGTCTATCGTGCCAAACACTACCTCTGATGTGGTCTTGGCCCGAAAATATGTTTGATTCTTATACTATTTTGGTTAAAATGCGTGGCTGGCTAAAGGCTACATGTACTTATTTATGCACTGTTTTGGGTGGTGCCATTACATAAAATTAACTAACAGGTTATAGCATCTTGAGAAAAATCTATTCATCTTGTACCAAAGATATGGTGCACAAATTCAATTCTAGACGATTTCTCAATGTCTCTGTTATTAACGTACCTGTTCCAACTAATCAGTGATAAAATTCAGAACATAAAAATTCGTCTCAGTTGCTGTGATATTTTAAATTATGCACCCCAACTATCTAGGCACAGCTTTATAAATAAATAGGCAAGTGTGTAGGACTGAAAGTAAAGTCAGAATGCAGACTGGAGAACAATGCACCCTGAAGATAGCTCGGTTAGATGCGTAGATCACCGTCCAAAAACAATATACATTGATGATAGGTTGAAAAAATGGCAGTTTGTAAGACTAATATTGAAGCTTTCATTCAGATACTTCAACGAAAACTGAATTTTACTGATATGGCATGAATCCCCACAATGGTTTAAAGATTAATGCAATCAACTATATTATTTATCTTTAACCATTGAAAGACAACATACAAAGAGAAAGGAACAACGATCAAATCGCTCCAGTAAGTATGGAAAACAAGAAAATTTCAACTAATCCCAAATGGATAGAACTATAATTTTGATGACAAAAAAAAGGCAAGGGATTAAAGCTGAGTTGACTAAACTTCCGATTCGTGAATTTAGAGAACCATAGAATGTCATGTATCAATCTGCACTCGGAAACAATAGGCAACCCAACGATTTTCCCTGTTGGCCTGTTCCTGTCCTTTCAGTTCACTCCCAGTCTTCATCATTCAATTGATCATCATCCTCTTCTTTGGGCGGTCTAACAACCAAAACTACAGTCCCTAAACTCTCATTCACACCCATTTCCTTCAACGCCAAACCCCTTTCCACTTTGAAATCCTCACCATTCACTTTCACGAGATAAAACCCTTCATCAGCACCCACTTCTCTCTTACTCCGATCAGCCACCACCAATATAGACTCCTCCTTATACCACCTATTTGCCTTCCAAGGCAACACCCTCGCATCCGCAAATGACACCACAACACCCCCTTTTCCCAAACCGACCACAGGCTCCCACCCAGGCAACACCACCCACCTATCCCACCCCTTCTCCGCCACCACCACCCCAAACCCCCCCTCACTCCTACACTCAAACGGCGCCTCCAAAACCTCCCTTTCCCTGTCCTCCGCCTTACAAACCGGCAACACCACCACCGAACTCGCCTCCGCCACCTCCCCAATCTTCAACCTCACCACTGGAACACGCACTACTCTGTCCCCATCGTCCACTTTATCCCCCTCTTCACTACCCTTCCCTTTCAACTCCTCCAAAACCGCCTCTTTAGCCTTCTCCGTCTCCGCAACCTTCAGTGCCTGCTCCAACGCAGAAGTTCTCTGTTCAGAAGGGTTCCTATGTTCCCTACTCTGTCTGTAATACAGGAAAGAGAGACAATCTCCGGGAAGAGTATAATCAAAGCACTCCCAACCCTTCTCCCCGCGCCTGCTCGGAAAATCCTTCATGGCACGTGCGAGCTCTTGTACTCCCTTCCCATCAAACCTATTCTCAACAATGAAACGCGCGGCGGCCACGCGCTGTGACGTGCTCAGGAGGCGAATCTCGTAGAGGAGTTCAGCGCCGCTGGTGTCGAAGGCGGAGAGAAGCTCGGGATCGGCGTTGGATTGGACGAGAGAGTCACGCACTTGAGCAGCTACTATGAGGCGGTTCTGTTCGACGCCGGAAATTCCGGTGACTTCTTCAAGGGAGGGAGGAGAGAAGCCTTCACGAAATAAGGAAGGGATGAGAGGCGCGTACTCGAACCAGAGGCCGAGGCGATTGGCGAGGATTTCGATTCGGCCTGCGATGTCGAGGGTGCCGTATCGCGAAGGAAGAGGCGAAGGGGGTGGCCTGAATGGTTGGTACAGTTGCTGCTGTGACTGTGACTGTGGCTGTGACCTCGGGGAAGAAGGGTTGATAATGGCTGAAATGGGTTTGAGGAAATGGCCACGGTTGTTGGTGGAGGAAGGGAAGAGAAAGGGGTTGTTGGGAATGAGATTCAGAGTGTTTCCAGTGAGGCAGAGCATGGTGACCGAGTTCCTTGCCTTACCTTATCTCATACCCGTTTGCAAAATTTTTCTCTTCTTCCCCTTTTTCACTTCTACAAAAATATCCTAAACCAAGCATTCCAAATCTCCTAAAAATATCCATACATTTTAAGATCCCACCAGTTTACTTCAAAGTACCAATGACCCTGCCCAAAATTCAGATTTACCCCCAAAAAAAATAAATAACTTAAATAAATATTAAACATTATAATAAATAAATAATTAGATTACCCCCAAAATGGTGATCAACTAGCAGTGGATTGATACGTGATCTAGAAAAAAAAAAAAAAATACTTTTCAATTTAATTGACAAAAAAATATCTACGCTTTATGACAAGACAAATAAGTTGATCTGTCGGTTTGGTTATTTTGACAGTTCTATTCCTCGCAAATGCAAGTTTTTCCCCCCCTTGATATATCTCTATAAACACGAAATCATATTATTTACAAGTAACAAAGAGAATTTAAATCTATATAATTTATTTGATTCGCTCATCATTAATTCACGCTACTTTATCTGAATGGATTGTTCAGTTTGATTATTGGATCTAATATTGATAACTATTTCATTTAAAGGAAACAAATAAAATAGGTTAACTTTATTTTTGGTGCACAAAAGAGGTCACACTAGATAATACATGTCCGCAGAAATTTGCACAATTATTTGCTTCTTTGAAATCATGTCCTACAGCAACAACTCAGTCACGAGTAAGAAGAAAAATAATCTCATACCAACTAATGCATAATAAGCTCTGAGTAGAAAACTCCAGGTTGGAGTCAACACAAACCTGAGACGATAACATATCAAGAGTGCTGTAAATATGAAAAATAATAAAACTAATGCTTTATTGTACTTCTAGTTTTTATATTTTAGTTTATATGTGATTTTAATTTTTTTATGATTTTGATTGTTCATATTTAGCTTATTAATTTTTTAATTATTTGGTTAAGTCTTTTATCCTAAATTTTATTTAATAATTAATAAAAAATATATACAATATATAGTGATTTATTTAAATTTCAAAAAAGGTAATTAAATAAAAACAAAAGCAAATTTTATTATATTTTATACATCACATATTTATTATATTTTTTAATTATTAAATAAAAATTGAAATAAATTTTTAATTTAAGTAATTTAAAAATAAATATGAATAATTAGATTGAGTGGAACTAAGATTATAAATATATCATAGTACAAGAACTAAAATTATGGATAAACCTCTCTTTAGCACCGGGCACAACGTTAACCGAAATATTTTGGGTTTTCTACACCTTTTCTTGTAACCTCTTTTGGGTTTCGTCTTGTGTTGAGTATTTTAGGTTTCCTTTTCAATGGAGACGGACAGAGCCGATGGGCGAACTCCCAATCAACTGAGACCCTTGGCCTGCTCTCGTTCCATCCTTGATCGCGCCCATGGCTCAGCCAGCTGGGCTCAAGGAGAAACCAAAGTGCTTGCTGCAGTTTATGGACCCAAAGCTGGAACCAAGAAGAATGAAAACCCTGAAAAAGCATCCATTGAAGTTATTTGGAAGCCTAAGACTGGACACATTGGTTGCAACAATACTATACTATACTATACTCAAATCTTTCTTTTTATTTTTTAAAATAATATTTTTTTCTTGTTTAGGCAAAGTGGAGAAGGAGTACGAGATGATATTGAAGAGAACTTTGGAAAGCATTTGCATTCGAACCATATATTCAAACACCACCACTTCGGTTATAGTCCAGGCAAGATTTGTTCTTATTGTAAAAATTTGGTTTGTTACATGTTTATAGTTAGTTAGATTCAAAGAAAATGCTGCATCACCGCTACCTTTTGGTTTTACTATAAATTGGGATATGGACTGCGGTTCCTCTGCATTAACAGTACGCAGTTAAAATTGGAACTTCCAGTTTTCTTGCCTTCACATGTTGCCACCTGCCATAGTCAATTGCTTTATAGATATTTAGGTGACGTGATTTCAAGTTGAGTGAAAACTTTTTATTTGTTTAACTTCACTTTTTGTTTCTCCTGCAGGTTGTCCACGATGACGGTGCTGTATCCTACTTAAAATTCATTTCTAATATGATTTATGTAGTAACTGTTACTTTAAAGTTGTGATATTGTATTTTTGTTACTGTGACCTTTCCTTTTAATTTGGCAATTCTTCAATTTTTCATCAGAATTATCGCCACATTTTTTCCCTAGGATTGTAGTGTGATGCAGAAAAAATGACACATTTTATCTTTTAAATTTGATCCTACTTTAGGTGGGTAGTGTTTTTAATGGTTAATTCTTGAACTTCACCCTAGTTATACTCTCTTGAAAGTTGAAGGAAAGGCTAATCTTCTGTGAGTCTTGAGGTATTGTGTCGATTCTTTATTTCTCCGTGAAAGATTTCTGCTATTTTGTTATCTCAGTTGGGAACAATTTAGTTTCCCTTTCTTGACATCTTAAGGGCAAGCTATGAGGGCTTGTACTTTTTTTATTGCTTGTGACATGCCTGACAATGTATAGTGATTGTGCTGATGATCGATCCATATTCTTCCATCTGATACATAAATGAGTGCAGATTCGTCTCTACCTCTTGAATTTATTCTATTTAATACAAGAGATCTTTTAGCCATTTCCTTTCAAATTTGACCTTTTCAATTGGCAGGAAAAATGTAGAGAATTGATGTTTTTCCTTAATTTCTATAATTAACACATTTCTGCTATTTTTGCACTTCAGGTTCAGTAGTTAACTATCAGAATGGATGGTGGACTGGTGGGTAGTGGACTAGTGGTGTTTAGTCATTCTGTTCAGGAATGAGTTTTACATTTTTAGGACTATGAAATAACAATAGATTTCCATCAATTCCATTAAATATATACACTTCAGTTTGATTTATTTGTTTATTACATATGGGGTGGAGACCTAAAGATATCAATATTTCATATATATGCTTCTGGATCTTTTGTTCTTTTTTCTTGACTTAATATGCAGCTCCTTCCCTGTGCAATAAATGCAGCATGTGCTGCACTTGTTGATGCTGGAATTCCCCTAAAACATCTTGCTGGTAATCAAGACTTGTTGGTTATTATCTTTTAGCTTATCTCCATGTTTTCATTCTATTAAAAATAATGATTTCTTATCCTTGTTCTACAGTGGCAATGTGTTGTTCTGTAACTGATAGTGGTTGTATTATACTGGACCCGACTAAACATGAAGAGGAGGTTAGTAGAATCTTTTTTGGTCAATTTAACATATTATTTTATCTTCTGCTTATGTCTAGTGAATTTAATCAGCTGAATAAAATTGGTTTACATTTATCTTGTTAGTATTCTAAATATCTTGTGGATAATAGTTGAAACACTTGAATCTTTTTGTTTCTTTTCAGTTATTGTTATCGTGACAAGCTTTTCATATACTTGTATTACAATCTTCATTGATTTTGATTAATGTAATTGCTCTCACTGAAAAACATAAACAATCTCCCCTTTTTTTGGGTTGCAGAGCATTGTTAACCTCTGCTATAAATTAAAATTATTTAATCTTTTGCTTTTATCTCCTTCCACCAATATGAGAAGACGCTATGTTCCAGCACTTAGTTCAGTAATACCCAGTTCTTTTGCAATGCATGTCCTACATATCTTTATTCATCCATATTAAAAATTTAGGAGTCTTTAAATTCATGTTGAGTGGAAATTTGATTTTCCTGGTAACTTCAGCAACCATGTATGCCTTGGGTAAGGCTAAAATACCAGTTGTGTTAGATGCTAACCTTCTGGATTCTGGACTAGTAATTTATTCTACATCCAATAGCAAACGCATGTTTGATCTTCTAAAATTTCATGCACATGTATATCTGCTTCTAAATGTTTAGTCAGTCACATGCTGTGGGGTTTAGCAGAGCCCAGCACACGATGTTTTTTTGCCTTAAGCCCATAACATTGGTATAGTTTCTATTTCCTGTCCCTTTGGCATGAACAAATTTTTAAATTGGATTTCCTAGATGCCCTCCTTCTTGTACACAACTCTGATTTGGCAGTGTTTTCTTTACTTATGGCAGAAAATGAAAGCATTTGCCTATTTGGTTTTTCCAAATGCAATTGTGTCAGTCCTACCAGAGAGATCATTGCAGGTGGGTAGTGAGGCCATGGCACATGGAATAATCACATCTGTTACACAGGGTGCTATGTCAGGTATTCTGCCACACTTTCTTTAACCTTTTTTTTAGTTAGTTTCTTCAATGGGAAATGTTGTTGCCATTAGTTTCTATTTTTCCCAACAATGCCCTAGTGCTTTAACATATGATTGCATAGAATGTGCTTGTGTAGGTTTTATTTTCTGTTGTTGATCTAAGTAGTTTTCTGTTTAATTTTCTTCTAGTGGATGATTATCTTCACTGTCTAGAACGAGGCCGTGCTACTAGTGCTAGGTTATCTGAATTTTTGAGGAAGAACATAGAGCCTAAATCTACTAGTGAGGCATCTTAAGCTGGGTTATTTCTAATATTTTTGGATGGAGTTTACTAGTATCTAACTGTTCGTTGCAAGGGTTGGGGAGGATGGGATTTCTATGCAGGTATTGTTGCATTTTTGTCCGATGTGTGTGTGAGCAGTGTAAAATTGTGCTTAGTTGTGAGTCATTAAGATTTGGTTTGTAAGTAACATCATTCGTAAAAGTGTTTCCATTTAATTATTTATCTATCATATTATAAAGAACAACTTTTGAATTTATAATGGAGAGTTTTTTTTGCAGTGAGGCAGAGTGTGAGCATGGTGCAATGTAACTGAGACGATAAAAGATCAAGAGAGTAATTTTAATTTATAGCAGAGGTTAACAATGCTCCAAAGACGATAAAAATTTATTTAAGGCTTGTTTGTTTGTGTTTTGGTTTTTAATTTTTAAAAATTATATTTTAAAACAATTTTAAAAAAACTGTTTTTAAGAACAAAATGAAAATAAAACTTATGTTAACATTTTTTTTTACTTTAAAAAATTATTTTTAGAAATAGAAAACAAACAAATTCTAATCAGTTGCTTTTGAAAGATAAAGGAAGAGAGAATGGAAGAGAAAGAGGATAATAAGAAATCTCTAAATTGAAGAAATTCAAAAACATGGGTTTAAAAGGGTTTTAGATAGTTTATAAAACCTCTTTCTCTCATACAAAATTTTTAAATAAAGATTGTTGTCAAATAAATATTCTTCTTCTCTCTTTTTTTTTTTTTCAAAAATTAATTTCCAAATAAAGCTTAAAGAATCATATCTTCTCAAGAATCTAGGGTAGTTAATAGCGCACACATTAGCATTTTACTTTCATTTTCATTTTTTTAAACTACAAATAGTATTTATTCATACGAACATCAATTCTTCAATTTAACTATACATTTCATAAAAAAATGTTACTTTGCTTAATATTTTCTAAACTCATGCAAAACCAATTAATATTGTTTATCGATCCACTTTATTTACTAGAATTATATGGGTTGCATATTCTAGAAAACAGTATTTTGATATCCTAGAGTTGTTAATCAATAAGATTATTGAAATTAATTAAATTGCTATATACTTGATTTTCTTTTAATAAAAAATCAAATACAATTATTTTTTTAGAAGATATTTGTGGATTGTGAATATGATTTACTTCAAAAAAATATTATTAACCAAAAATAAAATAGTAAAGATAGCTCGAAGAGTTGCAATTAAACATATTTATGTCACACCACGTTTTGGTTTGGTTAAATTGGAGAAAAAGGAAAAACGGAAAGACAGATATAAATTAAATAATTATTTTCTCTTATTTGTGTTGTGATGTAAGCAATAAAAGGAAAAAAAAACTTTTAATAGAAGTCTAAGAAAAAAAAAACAAATATTCTCATGAAAAAAATTAGTAATATAATTTATGATCAATAGAAAATTGATTGGAATTAATCATATGTAAATATTATGTGTTGATTGTATATATAAGTTGTCATAAATTATATTTAATAAAAATTTATTAAATATATTTTTATTGATTTAAATGATTTTATTAATTAATATAGTATGTCAGCTAATAAAAATGTGTATGAAAAAATAAATATATTTAAAAAATAATTAAAAATTAGATATGTATCAATTAATACCTAAACTTATAAAAATATTATTTTGTATCTTATTAAAATATTTTTTATTTAGAATGTACAATTATCAATTGATCAATAAGTAGTAAATCAATTGAATTTTAATGTGATACAAATACGATTAAATCTACAATCTAAGGATAACAAAATTCAGAATCCAAGTATAAACAATAAACATTGAGACAAACAATTATAATACACATGAAAAATAAATTTATTATATTAATATTTTATTTTCTCTTATATCACTAAATATGTTTTAAATTAGTTTTTAAGAATAATTTCATTTTCTCTTGTAAAAATAATTTTTATACAACTATAAAAAAATTGTTAAAAATTCTTTTTATTAACATACTTTACTTTTGTAGTTTACAATCATATCAATTTTCAAGAGTTATTTAAACAAGTAACTGCATATAGTTTTTAAGTTTTTAATTTTTTATAAATTTTTGTTTTTATGTTTTCTTTCAATTTTTAAGAGAAATAACCCTCCAATAAATATTAATATTTTTATTCATATATTTTTCTCTTTTTCTTAGTTATGTGCCAATAAGTATTTATAACTAAATAAGCATAAATTGTATTAAAGTATTTTATTTTCTATTTGTTGAGTAAGTATAGAACTATTTGTTTTTATATGGTTGAATTGTATTGAATTTGTCAATATTTTCCTTAACTACTCCAACATACAATAAAATAAATTTATATTAAATCAAAATTAGATCATTGAATTACTCTATGCTCATATTTTTAAATTTCTAAAAAAATATTTATAAAAATTTTGAAATAGCATTGAAAATAATAATAAATTTTTGTCATATATATATATATATATATATATATATATATATATAAAGGGATTTTAAACATATTGGTAATAAATAAAATGTAAATAAAAAATATTATTAAATTTTTATTGAGTTTATTATATTTAAGACCTTTTAATACATAATAAGTTTAATAACAATCATGATATAATTTTCTTAATACATATAATTATAATATGTAAATCAATTCATATTTTTTGGTTTGACCAAGTCAATTTGATTGGATTTATATGTGAATTATATTTATGTTTATCACAAATAAATATTAATTATATCCAAATAAAAATCAATTAAATGATTATAAAATAAAAGTTTAAAAAGTAACTGTTAGACATTCTAAAAAGCAGAGTTGCACCAAAATAGTTACACTGATTTATTATAACAACTTTTGTAGCAAAAGTTTAAATATGTCTTTTTAAAATCAAAAGTCAATAATGTTATACATAATTTATTAAATAAATTTATTTTAATATTTACATAAATTTAATCAAAAAATAAAATAAATTACATGACCTTACTTCAATATATCTCACTTTTGCATTCATTATAATATATCTTATATTTGACTGAAAAATAATTTTTGTTGTATTTGTATTTATTAGGATTTATTTTTTATTTTTTATATCAGAATTATATTTTTTGTTATTTTTCAAAAATGTTATGACAATAATAAAATAATATATTTGTATTACCTATGTTAATTATTAATTATTATTACTTTAATTATTTACTTTATAAAATTTTATTTTATTTTTTATTTATTGTATGGTTAAAAAAATTATCACTAATTCTTGAATATAATAATATTTTATTGCATGTACACCTATACTCGTGTAAGTTTTATTAATATTTATATTACTATTAGTTTTAGATAAAATATAATTTTAAATAATCTAATCATTTTACTATACTTATTTTATATCTTAATAATTTGGATAAAATATTATATAAAATTTTAGCAATAATAATTAATAATCAAACAAATTTATTTTTTCTATAGTTAAACTTATTTGAAATTTATCTAGACGATGACAAATTAAATAATAGGCACTTTGCTGAAATTTCAATGGTATAAATGATTGGCAAGTAGGCACTTTCGATTGAAAGAGTGAAAAAATAAAGATATGGACGAAAGGTGATAGTCACATAATGTTTTTAAAGAAAGATAATTTTCTTTTTAATACTATAATATATAATGCATTAAGTTTATGCATCATTAATATATGACTTTAATTGTATTTAAAGTATATAAAATAGTTAATTTTAATAATATAAAATAAAATAATATCTTATATTATAAAGACAATAAAATAGTATCTAATATAGATTTTGCAAGTCATCTTTCTTAAAATAATTTAGTAAAATTGACTATATATACTTATTAATTTATGTATTTATAATAATTTATTATTATTACACTTCATAATTTTTAAAGTTACTTTTATATATAAAGAATAAATTTATATATTATTTTATGTATTTATTACAAAATGTATTATTATCAAGGTTTAAAATATTTAGAGTCCATTATATGGTTGATTATATGAACATTGTTTTACTAAAAAAAATATAAAATATAAATAAATTTACTATAAATTGTATTAAATTAACATTTATTAAAAATAAATATAATATTTTGTATATTTTAAAATTTTAAATTATAATTTATTCATATTTATTATCTTTAAATTGTATTTAATTTTTTTATTAAAATTAATTATATAAAAACTTTATATTTATGATTATATAATATTAAAAATGATAATAAAAATTCATTATTAATAACATTTAACAAAAATTTATTAAAATTTATTATATATACAAAATTTGAAAAAATTCAAGAAAAAAATATTAATTAAATTATATAAAAATATCTTTATAAAAATTTAATGAATTTATCAAGTTACCTGTAAATAAAATTATATCATTGAAGTTCTATTTAAATGAAGTTCTATTTAAATTTAAATATTATTAATTTAAATTATTTTATTAATTAGTTTAATATATGTTATATTAAAAAAATATACATTAAACATTAAAAAAATTGCACTTACAAGATTATTATTTTATATTGTACATTATTAAATTATATTTTTTATGACAAGATAAATAAATTATAATACATATAAAATATAATTTTTATTATATTAATTTTTTATTTTCTTACTTTTTTTATATTACTGAATTGGACTTTATCTCCATTTATATAAATAATGTTTACAATTCTTTTTATCATATATATATATATATATATATATATATATATATATATATTACAATTATGTTAACTATCAAAAGTTACTTATTGATGTAAGTATATATATTTTTTAGGTTAGTATTTTTTTATTTTGTTTCATTAAATATATTTATATATTTTAATTTAATGAGAAAACATAATATATATATATATATATATATATATTTATTTTTGCTATAAAAAGGGGTTAAAAAATCCAAAATAAACAAACTAAGTCTCAAGCCTAACAAGCCACAGGCTACTAGCATCCTTACTTAAGAAAGGGACAGGGGATAGAGGAATATCAAAATGAGATATAGGAGATAAAGAGATTAAGTCCTATCTTAACTAGGCAATCAGTACAATGATTAGCCTCCCTATACACATGAATAAATCTAACAAATCTAATAGACTGTACAACTTTTTTAATATTACAAATTAAATGGAACAAAAGGTGAGAGGGTTGTTGAACATTCAAAATAAGGCCAATAGCCTCTTTGGAAACACTTTCTATCCAAATGGTCGTCACCTTACAATTAATCACCAGCTGAATACCTTGAAAAATGTCCAATAGCTCAACTGCAGTATGAGAACAAAACTCTAGACTACTATAAAAACTTGAAATGAATC